TGGTCTTAAAATTTTAATATTATATGGGGATTTGGGGTAATGAATAAAGTATTATTTAATATAAATTTTAGATTTTAAATCAATGTCAAAGTTGAATTTTGATGTTTTTGTAATTAATCATTTAATAGATTCTCCCTTGATACACTTAGTAACGATTGTGAACTATTTCTGATTGTAACATTTTGAATGTGTGGGTGATACATGCATATTAGAAGACACTTACACTATTGACGCACTCGGTATCGGTCTTTTTGGACTTCATTCGATTCCCTCAGATTTTGTTTGTTACCTTGATTTGTCTCTTCGTAATCGATTTACGAGATTTGAACATCAGTAAAAAGTTAAATCACAAAAATACTGAACTCCGAGGAAAATTCAAAACGGAAAGTCCCTAATCAAATGGCAAAATCAAAAGCACAAACACATCAAACGAATGGACAACAAGTGTCATATTCCTGACTTGGTGCAGGCATTTTCTTATGTAGAAAATTGTGGATTGAACCTGGTTTTAAACTACTGTTGCCTTAATTTACCTTAAACAATTGCGATTTCTTTGATATTCGGATGATAACCAAGAGTTCCACATGGCAAAATAATTTTAACACAATGCCATGAACCATAAAATACAAGTTATACTGGGGACGGGAGTAACATTCCTAATTCTAGTTTATACTATTGAATAACAAAATTGAAAAGAAGTGGATGATACCAAAGAAGAATAAAACCTCATAAGCCAAAAAAGAGACCGACAAAGTCATTACCAATAACGAAAAATAACAAAAGTCAACATAAAAACTTAGGCTGAACAATGCGGAAAAACCGGGGTGATGTGAAGACTAATCTAGAAGTGTAACTAAGACAATAAATCTGAAAATAATAATAATAGCAGCTTTTGTTTTGTTCAAACATGTAAACAATTGCTTTAAGTCAAGAGTATGCAAAAAAAAGAGACCCTCACTGCAATATATGCGCTGTTTAGTTGCCATGGGTTTTTGCATATGCATGTAAGAAATGTGTGGTTTTTTTCATAAACCCTCTCCATTCTTTTCAATTAAATGAAATGCCAGCCATTGCAAAAACTGTGTAAAATTACTCATTCTAGCTGCAAGAACAATATACGATATATGTACATTATCGCAAAAATATATTTTATGTTTGAGTGAGCTATAGAAAGAGCATACGAAAATCAAGGTATACATATATTTTCTTACAATGTACGCGTGTATTATTTCTTTCATGCAATTTACTTTTGCGTATTAACGTTCAGGTTTTTATTGCCCAAATGTCGTTTTTGATTTGTAATAAAGCCAAGGTGCTTCTATGTAATCACTGCCCATTTAACGATGATGCGAATTCCAAAATAGAAGGCATATCATGAAACCATAGATATTCTCTGTAACGTTTATCTGACTTTCAAAAGTATAAAATACTATATTGATCACCTACTAACATATTTTTACATGTAATTTGCCCTGAAAAAAGAGAGGTCGAACAGCTACTTTCTTTTATATAGACAGATTGGCATAAAGTACATTAGTAAATTTTATTTACACATGTACTTTGTGCCAATTTATCTATATAAAACAAAGTATATGTTGATGCGAATTCAATATAGAAGGCATATCATGAAACAATAGATTTGCTTTGTGACATTTATCTGACTTGACTGTCAAAATTATAAAATGCTATTTTGATCATCTTCTAAAATCTTTTTACATGTTAAAGAGAGGCGAAAGATACCAAAGGGACATTCAAACTCATAAGTCGAAAATAAACTGACAACGCCATGGCCAAAACAGAAAAAGACCAACAGACAAAAATAGTACACAAAGCACAACAGAGAAAACTAAAGACTGAGCAACACGAGCCTCAACAAAAACTGGGGGTGATCTCAGGTGGTCTCGAAGGGTAGGCAGATCTTGCTCCACATTTGGCACCCGTCGTGTTGCTCATGTTAGTATAAACCCGGTAATAAGTCTAATTCGGTAGGTCAAATGTAAGTTGCCCTTAAGAAAAGATAGGTCGAACAGCTACTTTTTTTTTTATATAGATACATGTTTAAATAAAAATTTACCATTTATGATTTATTGTGAAAAGGTAAGATATCATATTTAGGCAGTTGATTAGAAATATGAAAGTATTTTGTTAGAATCTTATATGCTTGTGGAAGTAATTGAAAAAAAGCTAGTACAAGCTTTACATCTATATCAAAGTTGATATCAAACGCTTTGTCAGACTCAAAGAACTTACTGTAAGACTTCTTAAAAAGGTAATATTTGAGAATACACACGGCGCTAGGTAACTTGGACAAGGGATTCACTTTACCGTTCTTCAATTTGCTCTTTCAAATAGCCAAAGCAATTTTATGTCGCCTTTGTGTCTTTTTGTGTCTTCTCATCATCGATACTTTACCGTTTAGTTTTAAGACATTTTTTTTAATAACATAACCATGTTGCAAAATTCTTTAATTTTAATTTCAGATATCGGCTGCCCCCTTATACATTATCTAACAGCAACAATGGATATAAACAATAGATTACCTCATTGAAATGTATTTTACTCCAACTACTCCCAGTTTTTGATTTTTGTTTGATATCTGGAATTGTCTCATCTTCATCGATTAATGAGATTTGAACATCGAAAAACTTCTGTAGCCTTAATTAATTCTAAGCAGCAGTTGTTGGGAGAAATAATTTTGAAGTACTGACCGAGAGTAACATGCACCTAAGTTAATATGTCTTTTACTTTTATAAATCTTATTCTAGCATAACTTGGTTATTCAAATGAAGCATAATCAAACATTCAGTATTCATTTGTAGATTGCTAGTTTATTTACAATCATACCATACCTCCTTTTTTAAGTTGATAATGTGAACCGTTCTTCATTTCCTATAACTGAAAGTGAAATTTCACCCTAAAAGGGGTCCCGAAGTGTTTTGGTGCTTATTGGATCTAGTTTTCAAAACATTTTCAAAGTGTTTTTCATTATCCAAACTGAGGTACGAGATTCAAAATAGTAATTACAACTTAAAGCTAAGTAAGGGTAGCCCAATATGTAAATTAATTTGTGTTTATACACGATGTTTTATCACTGACAACACAAGGATTGTGAGGTAGAATGCCAAAAATATTAACTTGAAGTAATTTCTATCAATATTTCACTCCCAGTTAAATCTGCCTCCTATCTTGACTTACATCTAGAAATGACAATGAGGGTCTGTTAAGAACAAAAGAGATGATTGGAGCTTCCCGTTTGTGAACTTTCCATTTCTATGTAGCATCATTCAATCAGCGCCTGCATATGGAGTACTTTTCTCCCAGTTGATACAAATCCATAGGTTGCACATCCTATCATGATTGCCTTGAAAGAGGGTTGCTGCATACAAGGAAGATACTGAACCAAGAGTTCCAATTGATGAAGTTGAAATAATTTCTTCGAATATTCTACGGACGTCATCACGAGTTGGTTGACAGTTATGGAATATCTTTTTTTCACAGATAACGACGGATATGTTTTAATTGTCATAACCACAATCCTGTCCAATTTTCCCCGAATGTGACCTACCGAATTAGACTTATCACTAGGTTTGTACTTACATGAACAACACGAAGGGTGGCACATAAGGAGCAGGAACTGCTTACCCTTCCGAAGCACATGAGAATTCCCCCGGTATTTGGTTGGGTTTGTTTTGCTCAGTCCGTATTTCTTTTTATATAATTGTTGTCTTTTCGTCTTTTTTCGTTTCGTGTTTCGTTTATAAAGATTATCTCTTCAGCCGTTGAAATTCTAAGAAAAAGGTTTTTGTCTTCTCAGGAATTTCCAACAAAAACAGGATTTTGATATTGTGACAGTAACTATCTGTTTATATAGCTCAAATTACATGTACTTCAGAATCATGAGTAAAGTGACTTCTCGTTTTGAAATTGACAAAGGAAATAGCCCGAACTCTAAAAGGAACGAGACCAGATGCGTCGACAGGATAAGCGTTAGCATATTGCAAAATCATTAGTAAACGATGTAAAATACTTGCTTTACAGAAGTTCCTCTTTTGTTTACATATTTCTTTCTATCTGCTGGTCCATTTTTAGTGTAAAACAAGTATAATCTACATCATAAGCGACCGAAATATTATCTACAATTTTCAATCTCCATTACAGTATTCATGATTAGCAGTAAACGTGTTCGTTTATTATGAATTATCTTGTCTTTGTCACTTCTCCGGCGACAATGAAAATTGCAATAATATATTTTATACAGTTTTAAAAGTGCAGTTACTCCTAATGACGACTGGGGGATATGAATTAGGTCACTTTTGGTCTTCTTGTGATCGAAAGTAAAACACTTGTCAAAATGGGCCGTCCGTTTAGCTGTGTAGGATGTATAAATACGCATGAAAGTCCAATCAGAATTAGGGACGTTAAATCCGATGCCATTAAATGTAGAGAGAGTGCCACGCGCTCTGCACGTAAATAATCCTGGCCACAACTCTTAATTTATGTTCCCATCCAATCTACCCTAACTTTCCAATGGCAGTTCACATTTCTCGACCTTTATCCCGGAAACCCCTATTAAAGGACATACCTAATATATCGATTGATAATTTGTATTCGTCCTGAAATATGTTTGAAATATTTGCCACAAGACATTAAGCAGACAACAATCAATCAATCATAAGTGCAAAATTTACAAAACTCTTCGTAATTGTACCAGTATTCAAACAAAATCGATTATTATTAATAATCTACATTAATTGTAATTGTCAGTTACGACAATAAGCACGACTTACGATATCATTGCGCAACAACCTGCACAGGGGGTGCGAAAATTTTAACCCATACTACCGTAAGTAAAATAAACCCCCATACGTCTTCGGCCTTACATCCAAAATCTTCAGAAACAATCAAACAATTTGATATGAACAAAGTATAAAAGTAAAGGTAAGATCAACAATCCTGCTTGTATCATATTGTAGTAGTGTCATTATAAAATAAGATAAAGATTTATTGTGTGTAACATTTAATCGTCTTCATCGTCCGCCTTTAAACCAAGGGCACCAATAAAAGCACTAAAAATCAATACAAACAGAATGAGAATAATGCTTGCAATTATAAGTTTTTCCAATGATTTTTTTCTAATATTGTTCATATATTCTGTAGTTCCGATGATCAGTAAAAGAACAGCGACCACAATTATAACAAATAACGATAGAGCAATGAACACAATCATAGGAACAAAATACTCATATGACGGTCCCGCCTTGATCACTGCTTTCAGTATAGCTACATTTGATGCTAGCAATGCTACATCCAATAGTCCCTGTCCTAATGTTTTTTTCTTATCATAGGATCTTTTATCCTGAAATATTGAAAAGAGCCAATGAATTAAATATGTATAATACGGCAAAGTGCATTGCATTTTGAAGCAAGTTTCAAAAATCGAAAGTCGAACATAACTTTAGAAGAAAAGAAAAACCTCTAAAAAAAGCATTATCAGATAGATTGATGATTTGATAAAGGAACTATTAACTTGCAAATGATTAGCAGAACTTGGATGTAATCATTTATTTCAAATCTCGTCACATAATTATCATTTAAATAAAAACTACGGTTTGATATTACCCCTGGTAAGGTACCTGGAAAATGAAGACCAACTTATGAATATAGTATTCACTTTTGTTAAGTAACAAGGTACGTGAAATAATTTACGACAGCCGACTATACAGCATGGTTTTTCTCATAGCTGAAGGCCGTACGGTTGCCTATAATTGCTTACATAAACTTCATTTGACCTTTGGTGGATAGATGTCTCATTGGCAGTCATACCACATCTCCTTATTTTCATATAATAGATGAATATACAATATGCTAGCATTGTTTGAAAATACAAAATTTTCTTTTGAACGATGTGCAAACACGAAGCTTGCAGAGATTTCTGACTGTTTCTTTCTACAGATCGTTATTTTAGACTGTCAGATGATTGGCTTTTGTTTTTATAAACAACAATTCAATATATTAAATATACTCAATTGAAAATTGAATACATTTTCTACAAAAATCATAGTAACAAATTTCGTGTTTTAGATCATAAAAAGTCTTACTTTGTGAAAAACCGTATTGATTCCAAAAACAAATTAATTAAATATAATATTCTTAAGTGCTTTATTGGATTTACCTGAAATAAGAAGGCATAAACCCAAAAGTTTGAAAGCCAGGAATGTTTACATACAAAAATTTTGAAAAGGTATAGTAGAATAAAATAAAAATGTAAATGATCGACAAACATAGTATATATATTTGTTTAGGGGCCAGCTGAAGGACGCCTCCGGGTGAGGAATTTCTCGCTGCATTGAAGACCTGTTGGCGACCTTCTGCTGTTGTCTGTTCTATGGTCGGGTTGTTGTCTCTTTGACACATTCCCCATTTCCATTCTCAATTTGATAGAAATGAATCCATAAAAAAATTCTTGATCAGTAATGGAGTTATTTCCCTTACGTGATGCGCGTTTTCCTTTTGCATTTTTAGGTATTTTCCTTGAAAGCTCTAATTGATAGAGGGAAACGACAAGCAGTTGAAATGATCAGTAAATGATTATCTACATTTAAGCCAAATATGATCGAAATTGACAATTGACTCCTATATGAGTTATTGTGCTTAAATTATAATGTTTCCCCTATTAGTGCTTTTTTTTTATTATTTTGATATGATTATTTCAAGCTGACGTTTATCCCACATATCACAGCCACTATTGTGTGTATTCATAAGAAATAAAAGATTTGTTTACAGATGTCAACTTACCGATTTCTTAATATTTTGCTGTCTTGGCTTTGATGTTTCCGACGCCACTACTTCATTAGATTTTCCTTTCGGCATCCTTTCTTCTAATTTGTCAGAAAATATTAGAGAAAAGACTTGAAATTCACATCCGTTGTATTTTTAACGTAAAAGATTTATTTCATATGTGGGTACAGTCTGTTTTGGTTACTAATTATGTTGTGATTTATTCACATCGACTGAAAATCACGATCCAGGTTATTAAAATTTTGTTAGCAAACGATGCGAATAAACCCACAATACCATCCATATATGACCCATTATCAATTTTGTGTATTCACATTTTCAAATATTTTATACCAGGATACCAGGGAGAATGAATAGACCATTGACAGTTGTATCGATTTTAACACTCTCAATAAAAATTGACTGAAATGTATTTTCCTACCTTATACATCAAAAGGTACATGATAGTTTTGATCTTCTGTTATTATTGCTATCTGCTATTCTTCAATAGGAATCGAGATACACTTCTTGATATTCTGTATAACTGAATAATATGAATCTTGATACATTTGTTATTTGTTATTGTCTTATCTTGTATAAATGCACGTTATCATGTTGTATTAATAACTTAAATTTATTGAGTTATATAAATTATTTCATATAAACGTTTGATATAATTACTTCATATAATGGTTTGATATGATTGCTTCATAATTTTGTTTGATATGATTTCTTCTTATCATTGTTTGATATGATAACCTCATATTATTGTGCATTGGAGATCATGATGTCCTGTTTTCTTCCTGTAACTGTCTTATATGAATAAATCACATTATCCTATACTAGCGTGTTCTTATAAAATATGACATAAAACACAATTTTGATTTGATGACAGCTTTCGTCATTTACTACTGTTCAGTTTCATTTCTTTCCTTTCTTTTATAATGGAGCACTACCCTAGGGTATCAAAGTGAAGACTATGCATATTTGTGTGAAATAAAACTATCCGCACCCATTTAAAAAGAAAAATGTCTATGTAAATAATAATTTACTTTTAAAGAAATCATACTAAAAAAATGCAACTGTGCAGTATGTTACAAAAGAATGTTCACGTCACACAAATAAAATACGATTATTTTCAAGAGGTAATGCATTGTAAAAATAAAATTGAGAATGGAAACGGGGAATGTGTCAAAGAGACAACAGCCCGATCAAAGAGCAGAAAACAGCCGAAGGCTGTACATATTTCATAGAAGACATGTTGGGTGTATATAAATATAAATGTAGGTGGTGGGATTATTTCAAAATCAGAACGTATAAACATGAATGTATCCATCACAAGTTTTAAGTTCATATATTAAATAAATGAAGTAAACGATTTTTAACTAACAGGTTATTTCCTACTCTATTGATAAAATCTTTGTCTCTATGTTCAGCAACAGCTATTTGTCTAATTTATAAATAAAATATATTACTTTAGATGTATTTGGCCAAACCTTTTCGGATTTTAGGTCTCAATGCTCGCCAACTTCGTACTTTATTTGTTTTTTTTTGTTTAACGTTTTGATTCGAGCGTCCCTGATGAGTCTTTTGTAGACGAAACGCACGTCTGGCGTGCACATTTTGTATCCTCGTATATATGATAAGTTTATTCCCACCTAATGATTTATGTTTTTCTGGAAATATTAATGTGGTAACGTGGTAACGTGGTAGTTTCGTATATTTTTATATCATATTGTATCTTATGTTAAATTTGATAATTCTATATTTTTTATCTAACTTTATTATTTCAGAAGATATAGTCAATACCACTGTAGTATTATATTTATTACCTTAAAATTATGCATGGTTAAATTAGACTGAGTGTAAATATCAGGCTCCTTCAGGTGTGAATGTATCAGGTGTTTCAATTAAGTTTTATTAATATTGATTAGTTCTCAATTATTTTGCGAGAAGTTTATATTCAAGATGGTCACTTTGTTTTGATGGACACCATTTTCTAATCTTTGTAAATTGTAACATTATATTCTGTTCTGGAGTTTGGTTTTGAAGTTTCAAAGGTAAGTTACTCTCTGTTTCGAATGAATGCATATATGAATGATATGTAGATGTGATCTTAAAGTGTAATAATAGAAAATATAAAAGAACTTTAAAAAATCTCTTTAATAAATGTGCCTTTATGGTTCAATACAGTTAATTAAATAAACGGCTAATTTTCAGTGAATTGGATAAACTATTTAATCCTATATGATGAATACTTTATGATAATTTCAAATGCTCAATGATCTTATTTAGATATGTATTTGTAGCAACGCTATATGTTTATAATAGGTTACTTATGATTTTAATATTTGTAATGCAGGTATTCACCATTTTGAACGATGCACTGTGATGACATCAACCTGATCTGATTTTATTTACATATATTCCAAGCATTCACAAATGAGATAGGTGTTGTTATGTTGAATCTATGTGCGTTTTGCTTATTGTAGTGTCCACTTTTGAAAGTGCTTGATGTGTTGTTTGCATATTTTTGCTTTGCATGTTTATGTTATTTTTAATTATGTTTGTTTAAATTTGGTATATAACAGATCATTACATGACTGTTGTCATGTATACTAATGCATCGAAGTATGCATTAAGATAAGATTTTGGTATTTACTTATTTTACATAAATCAATAGAATCGGAGACCACTATCTCCAAACTTAATGAAAATATATATTATTCATTTATTATTTAAATGCTGGGAAAGCTAATTAATATAATGCATTGTTATTACAGGGTAACTTTTGGATAATGTTTATTGCACGAAATAAAAAATCCTTAACCTGTGATACTTGTTTTGTGTATTGCTTCAAAAGAAGACTACACACAAAAAGAAGGTAAGTACGTTTTTCTCTATGATATCAATGGGTTCTGCTCCTACTAGAGTTTGAAAAGCCGTTTATGATATATTTTATGGCAATCCTTGTTTCTGTCTGAGTATTTTTCTTTCTGTCAATTCTAGCATTTCATTATCCTTCGCAAGTAGGTTCATTACCTCAAGTCCATCTTGGTACTGCATATGTTCTACATAGGTTATACGCTGCCACTGGTGAGAAGCCACATTGTACATGTAAACCAGCTCATGGAAGATTATATATTGTTGCCTACCATTTCTTATTCCTTTTGAAATGTATACCTGGTTGTGTTCGTTTCTCTTTATACCTAGGTTGGTCTTTTGGTTTCTATTAAATACATTGTCTTTATTTAATATGTTATATTTAAGCTTTTTGCTTTGTGGTAAACATATTTAGATTTATTACGGTTGATTTTCACAAGGTGCCCCTTTGTGTGGTACTGTACTATATCCAGATTTCTTGTACATCTTCTATGCTATTTGTCAGGACAGCATTATGAATAATGTTGTGTTACTGTGTGTTATGAATTACTTCATGTTATAGGGTAAATTTATAAATTCATGCTAATTTGTAATACAAATAACATTAAGTTATTGTGCAATCTGAACTACTGTATGTCATAGTGTAATATGAATACCGTTCTAGTGTTTAATTACGTATCAGACCTATTAGATTGTCATATAATGTATTTGCAATTACAAATGGGAACAATTCAAAAACGATTATCTCCCGTGAACAAGGACTGTTTCGACTGAAAAATAACTCAAATGTTCCATCAACTATTACAATTGCATCATAAGTACGTGTGGAAGAAAATGTTGAACGTCTCTATTTTGAAATACTTGTCGTAATAAAATTTATCGCTCATCTTCTTTTATTCATATAGTAAACCAATAAAGAAAAATTATATACAATAGGAAAAAATTATCACATGTATTAGCTACCTTTTTCGTCCTAACACGATTGGAGAAAAAGAAAATCTTTGAAGAACTACAAAAAGTTAAAACAAATAATAGGAGAAATGGGTAAAACTTCCATCGTATAGTAAATGAGAATATTTCATTCCATTTTTTTCACAAAGGTATATCAAAATAAACCACTGACTTTAATTAGAATCTTAATTGAAAATAATAGTGGGTAAATACTTAAGCTAATCAGCTAACTAGTATATTCAAGCAAAGAAACACAAAGGACAATACAAAATATATCAGAATATGTTCAAATCATTATTCGTAACAATAAGGTTTGGTTAACATAGAGGGGTAGTTTACCGTAGCAAGATTTGGCACAATTTTAGGACATTTTTGGTTTTTAAAGGTTTTTAAATCCTTCATTGATTTGGTTAAACTGTGTTGAATTAAATTGACTAATGAATCTCATGTAGACAAAACACGCGTGTAGCGTACTTATGTTAAGCCTGGTGCCTTTGATGAGTTTAAACGACTTGTCGTTGTTTATATCCTTATCCTTTGGTAGATAGTAATTTCGTTGACGATTAAGCCGCATCTTATTTTTGATATTGTGACAAAATGTCACAAAGGAATTCGTATGTGTGTAAAATGAAATGCCAGTTGTTTAAGTGTTATGCATATTTCAACGTTATTCCTGTTGGATTATATGTGTTTTAATGTTACTTGTGCTCTTTATCTCTGATAAAACGATCTTTGTGTGTTGTCAACCTTTTCTTTATAACTTTAGTACATGGCAACATTGTTTTAGCAACAGCAAACAATAATTTAAAAACGTTTCGGTAAAAGATTTTAAGCGGTAATATTGTTTTATTTCAATTTATTTTTCATAGTTGATATCTCATTTAAATGTGATAAAATATAACAAAATCTCGTTTGAAGTTTTAACAGGAATTTCACTTCAGGATATTAATCATCTAAAGTCCTATTGTATTTCGAATTATCACCAGAATTGAGTTCAATTCCTATAGCACCGATGATAATATTCAAGATGGCAATCAGCATAATAAACGCTACGTTGACAGTATTGAATCGATGCAGCCATACTTTATTACTGATATCCTTGCTTTCTCCAATTCCGATGACCAACAGAAGAAAACCAACAAAAATTTGACAGAAAATTGAAAATGAAAGGAGAACAACTAGTGTTTCGAAATATGCATTTTTAGGTCCAGTATCCACAACGGCTTTTACCATGAAGATGTTGATTATCAGAATGGCCAAGTCTAGCAAGCATTCAGCTATAGTCTTCTTTACATCGTAGTATTTCTTATCCTAAAAGAAAAAAATAGTCCAGTAAAACAGTTTTACAGGTTTTTGAAAACTATATATAATTTCAAAAGCTATAAGGATGTCTGATGAGTAATCATTTTACCTAAGGCACACATCAACATGCTCTACTCTTCACAAATGTTCAAAGGGAACTTTGGTTCAAGTCTGTACTTTTTAGTACCTTGTAAATTGATGAAAATCTGCACCTTTGCCAAAATTATATAAAAACCATATCACAAACATTATACAGCGTGGTCTTCTAGACGCTAAACAAAATCATTCCCACAATTATTACAACGTGAAATGAGGCCTTCGAAAACAGTGTGAACAGGTTAACTCTTTCAGCGATGTCAGTTATATGAAGAATCTAGAACCTTGCAGATTAACCATATATTTTAACCCGTTTGATCAAATTTTGCAACGATATCAAAATGATCGCATTTTCCACACTCTAGGCTTTTATTTTTTTTATACTAATTTAAAACAAAAATCGTCTAAATTATTTTTTACATTTTCTTTTTTTTTATTTACATTGTGCTCTCGTATACCATTTTTTCCTGTTGAAGGTCGAATTATTTCATTTATCTTATATTAAAACTTTTTAGGTTATCTAAATTCAAAATCTAATTTCGTCTGGTTTGGTCAGTTTCTAAAGAGAGACTAAGCGAATACAACCCATTCTAGTTTTATCTATTACTCTGTACTATTACTTTGTAAATTGGATATATTTTCTTCATTTTGTTAAATTGTTGGCTTTGTTTTTTTTTGTTACACCATATCAATTAAGTCGTAAAACTGAAAAATATTTTGTAGAAATGCCAATGATGTAAACAGATATTGCAATGTTGTATTTAATAATATTGAAAAGAAACGAGTCAACTGAGCAAAACGTTTTATTTTTTTAAACGAAATAGTCCAAGAAGCTCAAATGAAATATATGGCTAAAGTGAGTTGCTACTCCCTTAAGAACTAATGTGACCCTATTACAAATGACATATTTGTTGAAATACTTGATTATTATTAAGAAATTTATGTTGAATTGATAAATTAAAAATAAGTATTATCATATTGTCCTATCACATCACTCCTGTAGTAAGTGTATTTTCTCATCACAAGTTCAAAAGTCAATCTCCGGATTTTTACGGTTTCTCTATGGTTCTTCTGACAAGTATTCATCCTCATTTTGCGTGTTCCAGACTTTAACAATGACTCATTGATTTACCTCCTTTTGGATTTAATGCGATTCGTATAGATTACACTACCATGTGTGACAGTTTTTACCTAACACCTCTATATTGTAAAGACCGCGCAAATTCGATGCTTTACTCTGAAGCTACTCTTAATTTGTAAACTTCAAACTTGTCGATACAATTGAAATCGAAAAGGAAGGACTACTAAGTGAATGTTTATTTTGCAATACTCTTCGGAAATACTACGTATGTTCTTCATCTTAACATATGAGACTTCTATCCAAAAAAAGTCCAACGTTTAACCCTCAGATAGTATTTTAGGATACCAAAATGGATATTAAGTTATTATTTCAAAAATACATTCCTATTTGTACTTGGCCAGATAAACAACAAGCACGATGTGTAATACATGTAAAACAAATCTGAACTTTTTAGATATATTCCTGAATACTAAAACATGCTAAATTTAACACATAAAATTCGAAAATGTTACCGATTTTTTTATCTTCTTATCTTTAACTTTTGTTGTTGTAGTTCCATCAACACTGTCCAAATGTCCAACTGGCATATCGTAGCTCACAAAAGGTAAGATAAATAATATTTCCTGTAGCTACTGATACATCCGGATATTGGTAACGTTTATCAGGTAAACTTTAATAATCTATGTTGCTAAAGAAACATTCAAATAAAATAAGGTGATTTAAGTCACAATTTTACACTCACTGCACTTAACAGATGACTGCCTTAGTGGTGATTTGCTTATAGAAATATCAAAATGAATATATAAATATAAATAAACTGCACTTTTATGTACATTGTGTAAATGGAATAGAATAAGGTAAATCTCCGTATATATATTAGAGAACACGGTCTCATTGTGTTTAACGTCCTTGACCATAAGTCGGATTTGGAATAGATTACCTTAGCTGTATTCGGAAAAACCTTTTGGATTCGGAATTTTAGGTCCTCAATGCTCTCCAACTTCGTACTTTATTTGGCCTTTTTAACTTTTTCGATTAGAGCGTCACTGATGAGTCTTTTGTAGACGAAACGCGCGTCAGGCATACAAAATGTTTATCCTTGTATCTATGATGAGTTTATTTGTGTGACAACTCGGCACAATCTAGGGAAGAAGCACAGTATATGCTTTATAGCATGGCGATATTATACATGTGCGATTCATCATTTTCTCCAAAAAAGTGTTTACGGTGTCAATGTAACTTATCATACAGTCATTCACATTTTTATTTTAGTTATTGAACACCCATTCCTTCGATTGAAAGTTATTAAAGAAATCAGTTTCTTTTACACTTTTCCTAAATGAAAAAAAAATATACGTCCACTCTACACAGAAAATTGCATTTTATCCCAGAGTCAAGTTAAGAAAGGCGCTTCGGCTGGCCCTCCGAAAAGAATATGCGTTGTTCTATTTAAAGCAATCTCCGCCTTGTTTAAAATAGCCTTTTTTCCTTAAAATGTATACCCCTGATGCGTCAACAGTGTAAGCGTCTCCTACTGATCATTTGTCACCCACCATGTCAACCCATACTCAGTAACAATGTCACTATTGAAAATTTGAAACAATCAGTAAAATTATCAGTCGAATTTTCTGTATCTAAAGACATAAGACTGCGGAATCGTGTCGCTACTGATTTGAGATTAAAATACAAGCAGTGTCTGAGCAGAAATATGATGAACTAGGGTTATTGTGCTATGGTCATTTTTTGTATTCTTGACTTTCATTTTTGCTCATGTGTTTTGTCTATATGCAATTTTGTTTTTCTTTGTTGACATATTTGTTTGTTTTGATTGTGATTAAGATTATAAAGTGACCTACAATTTACAAATATGCAAAACATACCCATGCCTCAAAAAACGATGAAATGTCTGATATACTGAAACACTTATTAACGAGGAGGAAAAAAAATCAGTCGATTGAGTAAAATATTCTGAATATTAAATTGATACGAATATTCACAATGCGATTCACTTCAGCATATTTAAAAATGAAAAAAACCGTTATACAATTCTATACACATCTGATACAATTGACCTTCTTATAAAACTTTTAAAAGCAATAGGTAATCTGGTGTCAGCTTTCGTTGGTCACTTAGATTGTATAATGCCATATTTTGGATTGTATACTGTTGAAACTAAGGTAAACCATCATATTTAATTGTTTAAATTAATCATTAGAGTTAAAGTGATTCACAAATAACTGAATCATGCGTGAATATATTAAAATCTTGACCTTATAAATACATTTACTTGTCAATTTAAAGGCAATTGTTGAAAAAAGGGAAAAGTAAAGAAGGACGCTACGATAAAAATGTAAGTTAATACTATCGTAATTGCTTTGGTTGAAATTTAGTCGGTGATAATTTTTATTTTTGCAGTGTTCCACGCAATGCAATTCAACAGAAAAAAAGAGTCTTCAACAATTTAAAAAACAGAGGCCGAAGACTGTTGATACTAGCGAGAAATTTTAATTCACTGTTAACCTTACACTTCAAAATAGATATGTATGTAGTAAAATAAACAATTTGAAAAGTTAACCACAGTAACGTAAATTTCCGCAAATTCAGACGTTACATTTTTAATAGAGATTTCCAATCGGTTGACATTAATCGACATAACCAACCTATCTAAACATATCTCGGCCTATTGTATCGATACACGACGGAGGGGATCAAAATTAAAATTAAAATTAAATAATAAAGACTGAAGCGAGATGATATTCTCATTTTTTATTATAAGTTATAAGTTTAAAACAAGAGTTTCAAACACTCCGGAATGTAAAAGTTGTACACGACTAACTTCCTTTTAGCATAGTTCTATGATTTATTTCAATATTCTTTTGTCAGAGGCAGATATTCAGATCACTGATGTATCTATCGGAGAGTTCTTTGTCAACTTTCCGTAGAATTTCTTAAAATGGAATTTATAAGGTCATGACGCATCTTCAAAATAAAAATGATTACACTTTACCAAATCAGTTATTTATTTTACTTCTTGTTAAAGATTAAAGATGCATTTGTTCTCGGAAGAGTGTGGCTGTGTAATTTAAAGTCATTGATCACAAATTGTTTTATGAAATTTTTGGCGTTTAGCTTATTTAAATAGTCTGAAAAATGGACGTGTGGAATAATTGATTGCAGTTTTGTTAAGTAGGATCCAATTATTTTTTATCACCAACTTATGCTAGCAAGGGGATATTATATTTTCTAGTCTGTATGTCTGTCCATTCATCCGCCCCCTTTTCAAATTTTCAATTTTGAAAATGATATACCAAATTAGGACTTTACCCGGATAAAGTGACTTACTGAACATGAAAATGTGATAAAATGCGAGGGCAAGGTGTCTTATGGCCATACATTCTTGTTTCAAATGTTCTGAATATACATGCACATGTATGTGTATCTCCAATATTCATAACTGCCTCGTAGGTATTGAGGTGGCGTGCTCGCTTCGAACGCGAGAGATCTTGGGTTCGATCCTCGACTGGTTCAAATCAAAGATTGTTAGCCTCTCTGCTAATCAGTCGGAATCTAGGAGTAAGAGCACAGTCAGATTGGTCTGATCGTAGTCAGAACAATGTGTCCGGGAAGAGTGACAGAATAGAAAAACAAAGGATATGGGGTATCCATCCATGACACAAAATCAGTACATGCACAACAAAAACACACAAAAAGACATGTCTTCCTGCGGACTGTTACCGTGTGAACTAGCACGTTATAAAATTTTTATCAGCGTGTCGATTTAGTACCAAGCAGGGTTCATATTCATCTTCTCGTCCTGAATATGCATACTCAAACTACATATGCAATGAACACTTATGATCCAACATCCTGTTGATACTTATATTTTAGCGTTGGGCAAAGTCGTGATCTTCTACTCTGCATTGGGAATAAAAACATCGAAAAGGAAAATATAAGCATGCTTTTTTGACTGCATTGCGCATCGAAATCTTATTATCTTTTTTTCTAAGTTTCGAACTTATGACACATGAACTTCAATGATTTATGCAGTAACAACAAATTCGGTGACCCTCTATAAACAGTTAGTCAATATAATGGATAAAATACTTTAAGTTAATGTACTTGGATATTAAATATTTTGCCTTGAAATGTCTTTTCTATTTGGACTCATATAACATTTTAGACTGCCATTCCCGTTAAACAAGACCGTAATCGAGCACACCTTAAAATACAATCCATATAGGGATTTTTTTTACCTATAAATTTTATGATAAATGAAAAATACTTTGAATTTGACTAAAATTAAATGGAAGAAATAGTTTTATCTCAATTTTCAACTTTTATATAAAATCTGACAATTCCGAACTTGACTGTGAACATTTTAATATCCTTCTTTTAAAAACATCTTTTCCCCACAAACATATAAATAAATAGACAACGAAAGATAAAAGAACATCGGCTAACGAAAAAATAAGCATTTAAAATATAGAATAACGGAGCATTCATCTGCAAAGTACAGTCACGGCAAAATAAGTGTCATAATCAAAACCATGAAAGATAACTCAAATCGATCTTATGATAGGTAAGGGATACGTGTTTCTACGTGATCTTATGTCAGTGAAAATTAAGGCGGGAATCTGTAGAACCATGCTATCAATAAAAAATACCTGATTGCTTTCATTTTTCATCACGTAATTTTTTTAATATGGACGAAAATTCCAGTGTTTGGTTTTAATAGTCTTTGCACATTTAGTTTAAACTTGAGCGACGTATTTAACCAAATTCAATGGTTGGCAATAACCAGTCCTATTAGGTCCAGTCCCATAAGGTCCGTAGGTCGAGTAACGTACGTACGTCAGGTTATTGGAAATCTCTAATAGGTCAGTATAAGGCAACGTTACTACATGAGGCATGAAACATAACAAAAGAAATTAAAAGTATTAAGCTGTTTACATTGTTACGTGTTACATGTACTATACATGGACCAGTTAACGTCAGAAATTCACAGGTTTTGTTGAATATGTTTTTAACAGAAAACTCTTGTGAAAATACTGTTTTTATGTGCATAAAGTTGCAAAAGTCAAGTATCCACTGTAGTCTCGATCTTTTAATCCTTTAATAAAAAGAGGACATCTAGTAGGCCAATTGTGAAATGATATTTTTTTGGTGGATACGAGTTCCTGTTGCTCTCATCTCCGAATCTATCAACTTGATTTAAAAAAGTTTTTTTTCTGAATACGAACAATAATGTAAGATTTTGCTACTGTATAGCTATGAGATTGCAGGTCTGGTGAAATATATCTTTATTGTGGAAGATATACTTCTGTATTTGAATCTGAGATGATGAAGAATTTTTCACTTTTACAATATGAGTTAACACGTTCAAGATTTTTCATTTAATATTTAAATTAATATGCATTGTATCATTTTGTTGAAAGAAATGTGTATTCCAAAGCACGGGTATATATTATGTTGTTTAAAAAAGACAAGTTGTCTGTCACGTTAAAGTACTTTCCGAAAGTAACAAAAAAGTTGTCATTTCCCTACATCGAACAATACAAAAGTTTAAAAACAAATTAACATACTTGTATGCATTAAACAGCTTTATGCTTTATCGGTTATACCATACAATGCCAGTTCAAGAAAAATTGTTTTATCAAATAGATATAAGAAGATGTGGTATGAGTGCCAATGACACAACTCTCCATCCAAGTCACAATTTGTAAAAGTAAA